CTCGCTGATGGTTCTAACTTCACTCACACTCGTCCAACAAGTTAGAGTAACCTTATCAACCAAACCAGACATGTCAGATTACGCAACCCCAGGCTTGCCTTTCCTTGGAGGGTTAAACGTTAATGACCCTAAACTGAGAGGTTAGGACAAGTGGTTTCGTAACTTGACTTACATGCTTACAAGCTCATATCTCATTATCTCAATCATAATTGTTTACGGACAAAGTCTCGGTCAAGGCTTTCTCTTCGGTCATTAGGCTTTGATTATCAGAACCTGAGATTACACTTTTGACAACTCTGACTTAAAAACCGTATTGCTTATAAACGTTAACATGCACGCATACACATGCGCATACATTCGAGCAAAAGTAACAGGACCAGTATGAAATATAATAAAGCAAACCACTCTATATCGATCTATCTAGGTTTTTAATTTTATTTTTGCTTAATTGAGTCTATATAAGAAGTAAGAAAGAGCCGGATAGTGTTCTTGCCCTATGCTAACGTGAGATGGACGGAGGCTCAGCACGTTTTCACCCGAAACGAGGGAGGAAGCCTCGTGGACTGCGTCAAAATGTACCTCATAAAAGTAAAACGGCTCCATATAACGAGATTTATCCGTTCTCATCTGGTGAGATCGACCAACGAATCTCCTCTTCATTTACTTTCATACGAAATGAAAATCCCATAAACAATACCATATTCGTTTAGGTGTCTTGCATCTCGCTAGAAAAGTTCGTTTATTTTTCAACTTTTCAAGTTCTTCTCTCTGTTTACATATTTTTGCAGAAGACCCTCAAGACTTAGCTTGAGGTAACGGGTACCTACCTATAGTTCTATATGTTGTTTCATCCTCAATGCTCGTAAAATTTTCTCTACGTAATCATTCTTAGCCAATAGCTACTACTGCTCCTCCTTTGTCTGTCCCCAATACAAATTGTTCATTCGCTTTAAGCTTCATTATAATATTGATAATTGACCTATTCTTAAATGATGCTACCACATGGTCATTAATTAAAGTGGCAATTTTTAATTGAGGTCACTCATAGTATCCTCTGGAAAACTATCCTTCTATCATTTGGGAAAGTTTAAGACCTTTGATAGGACTTCCTCCGCCGAAATGTCTAATGAGGTGTTTAACAGATTTACCACTTATTGTTAACGACTTTCCCTCTCTTTCACTTCATTACATATGAATCGCTTTCTTGAGCTAATTTCTATACTCAATTTTATTAATTTTTTATCAAGTGTCTCTCTAATATGCTGAAAAACGTTGCTATATAGCTCATCCGCTATTCTTTGGAGCCTAAGGAAGTCTTCCGAACTAAGAGTCTATGACAGAATTTGCTTAAGTCTAGTCTTAATTCTAATTAATGATTTCAGCTTGGCAATGTCTTCCATAAGTCTAAAATCAACTGAACCATGGCCTATGCCCAAAAGATCATTATTAGTCTTACAAGGTGAATTTAATAGAAATAAAACAAAATCTAGGTATAATTCTATTGTAAATGCAAACTTTCAACAAACGAATGCGATCGACTTGCCTGGCCAACACTTTCTTGGTTTAATACATATTGACGAATTCCGAATCGAATGAGCATCGTACGTACTTTGAAGATATGAAGAGCAATTGGATTTCAAAGAGACTAGATTTGTCTTGAGTCTAGCTAGGCTATCACACCTCTCATGATATATGCATTACATACACATTAAAGTGTATAGCATAAACCCAAACATGAGACAACATTAAAGGATCGTACGCCAATTACTTTGTGTAAGAAAATACCTGTCCCTTCCGGCGACTAGGGTTGCAGCTGGTCACCTTGTATTTTGGTTTGGTATATTTTTTTATCCAGTTCGTAAAGTATGGATACTGGTTCCGATGGTTTCTGCCACAGTACAGACGAAAACTTGCCATAGGTTTATCGGGATCACAATTCAATAGTTTTCCATACGCAATGTATCACGTAGGGGCTCTTCGAAACCCAGTTATTCTCCATATCCTTTTAGTATATAAGAATGTTTAACTTGTAGGTCTCATTGCAACGTACATCAACGGGAGTAGGAGATGATTAAATGGCTAGCAACTCGTGCTGTCATACTGCCACGTTCTGCCTACTTCTTAAAGGTTTAACAAGCTTTTACGAAGGCACAAACTTCAGACTGCCAAGAGAATTTATCATCGGCATTTACTTTTAGTCGTAGAAGAACCAAGGGGGTGTACATTTAAATCTTAGCTAGAAGTAGTTTCATCGTTGAAATGAAGACCAAAATGGTGTGGCCTTTTGTTTGGTCACAGTCTCCTTTAGCTTTATAATGTTGGCTTAACTTCGTTTTAGCAACTTGCTCAAAGCACCAGGGAGACATTGTGGAATGTACCTAGTCCTGTGTATTCTGCCATAGTATGTCTGATTTCCAGCCTCCGACAATTGATTTGCTACAGTCCAAAACGTTTCGCTGGCAGCGTCAATGAGAGACTACAATGCCGGCAAAACGTTTGGGACTGTGCCAAATCGATGGTCCGATGCTGGTAATTACGAATACCACGCAAGAGAACATGGTACTAGGTACGTTCCGCAAAGTCTCCCTGCCGCTCCGACCAAGTTTTCGAAAACGAGGTCGAAGCAACACTCGAAATAATTTCATTTATAAGATGTCGGGTTTTGCTTAATTAGTGTGTGCGCTTCGATTGACCCAGTCTTAGGGACACTGATTGGCAATGACACCACATCATAAATGAATATAATTTGCCTCTTCCCTCTGGTCTTGGATACACCATTCGCATGACATCATTTAGGAATAGTAGATTTAGACAAACAAGAATACTCAGTTGAGTAGGGTGGAGCCGAGAGACATCAAGCCTGAACTTGATTTTCTATTCAAGACGTAACAAAGGATGAGGGAACTCCTACATTTTTCAAAGGTGAACTTCGCCAGAAACTAAGGGCAGACCAGCATTCCTGGAAAGTCAACTTCAGATTGGGCAGTTGTTCCTAAGTCCTTTGTCATCTTTGTTTTGGTGCCAACAAGGGTTTTGGAGATACGCTGACTGAACGGCGATGCTGTGGCAGCTGATTTCGAGGCAGATTAAGAGCATTCGTCCAACGTTCAGACTTCATCCCTCCATTAATCCTTCAGTTGTCTTTCAGTTGTACCACACAATTTGCGAGTGTGCGCACTGCATTTCTGCATAAGCCAATCACAGAAATTGTCCATTTGAGTCCCAGCAAAAGGCTACAAACAAGCCAAATACCTTCATTGCGACACAACCATCTCAGCTTTCTCTTTTGCTGTGTTTTAGTTATTTTGTCCCAATATCCAAGCCAAATATTCCCCCATTCGTCTTAGTCAGTCAGAGACTACACAAACACACACACACACACGCACATCATGTCGCACAAGACGCCGTGATTCCACTTCGCCGTGTCACCGGCTTGGTTCGAGACTGGTGCCATTAATGGCGCATTGTCCCTCCTCCTTAGACCCTGCGATGTCTTAGAGACTCACATCCCTTGACGTATGCGCGGCGTCAGTGGACGTGGAGAAAGGTTGGGTGTACGCTACTAGCAAAGCTGAGAAGTTCCCGTGCTCTGTGTGATAGGCAGGCCAACTTGCGGCTGGCTGGTCAGTATGCCGGGCTGAAACACACTTTGAGCACATCAACAACTGAAGGCTTCGTTACATGTCTCTTGCTCCTTCCTCAGGAAGGCCGGAATGTTAGCCCATTTGGTGATGGTTTAATCAAACTTCTCATTCTTTGCCAAAAATCCGCTGCCTCAGATCTTTTCTGCCCCTCTACTCATGTCGTCTCCTTGCTTTCACGCCTAACTCTCTGTATGTCAATCAACCCGCCTCTATATTGCCTGTCTGTCTGTATTCGTGCCGAGCTACCCACCTTCTTTTCTGTACCTATTTCTGCCTGTCT